GGAACTCTAATCTTGTATCCATTTTCAAAATACATAGAATCACTTCAGAGACAGAATGGTAGAGTAGAGAAAGTCTCCTGTTCTAGAAAATGGAATCTCTTTTCTGGTTATATAGTATAGCCCTAATACTCCATTTTGGTTAAGAGACCACCCATAGGAAGGTAGGTTCACTGTAAGTCATACTAAATGTGATAAGCTAAATGATTATTTCTTTAATTGGATACCGTATTCTTCCTTCACAATATCTTTTCCCTTAATGCAGAATATTATGCGCCACAAAAAATAGAAGTGTTGTAAGTCTGTCCTCTTTTCATAAAAGCACACCTTTTCTTTTTATTCTTTCTGTTTGTTAGGCATGTTTTTTTTTTTTAACACTTAGGACTTTTTCACAACATTTTGGTCTCCCTCACTGATTCCAAGGGTTCCCTTCCTGCACATCTGCGTACCCTCAGTTTGTCTGATCTTTGTGCCAGTTGAAATGGCGTGATTCCCTTTTCTCCTCTGTTGGCTTTCTCAAGGCAGTTGCTGAGGTTTTATAGCTTTCTTGCCCTGTGTGTTTTCACTTAAAATTTAATAAAATTGTCCTTGTGTTTTGACTCCGTTCCTAAAAACTTTTACTGAAGAGACAAAGAAGTTCAAAAGGGTACCTTGATGCCCCTTGTAATTTGGGATAGTTAGAGGAGGAGGAAGAGTGTAAGTCATATAAATAAAGTATTCATGTATGATAGTCTTTTAAAAATTTAAGAAGTAGCATAGATTTACTGACATTTAAGCAACAGAACTTTATTTTCTACATTTCTGGAGGCTGAAAACTCTAAGATCAAAGTACTGTCAGGTTTTGCATCAACTTAAATTTTACTTCCCAGACATCCATCTATTTCACTGTAACCTTAAGTGGCAGAAATACACAAGGGGCCTATGCAAAAACAGTCAATGCCTTTTACTGCTGAGCCATCTTCCAGTTTTTGAAACATCAAACAGGANTTATTTAAAACCTGAATAACTTGTGTGATTAATAATCTGTTATTAAGGAATTATAGAATGATAATGTTCTTCATGCTTTTACTTGTCCTCTCTAATAAATAACAGTAATTAAATTATGTATTATATATACAGATAGCAATGTCTTAATAAAGAAATAATGATCCCCAGCAATAAATCAAGTAGGGTTTTAGGATAAAGGCATAATTGTCAAGAGACATAAATGGGTGCACAATGAGAAACTCAAGTCTAGAGTTCTTGTCAAGTCACTGAGGTACAGAAAATGGTTTTATGAAAAACTCAAAATGAATAAAGAATTCCATCTGACATCTAGTTTAAATGTTATTCATGAACATTCTGTTTGGAATTTTACTCTAAATTCCAAACTGAAGCTTCTTTCTAAAAGTTAAGGCATTTGGTCATTGCCCAATTTATCATATATAGCTGAAATAAAGGCAGCCTTAAGCTCTTCAGGAGATGGCAAATTCTCTACTCTCCTGTGATGTGGGATCATGAACCTGGCCAAGTTAGAGTTTGAAATGCACCATTGGCATCTTGGATTTGTCTTGCCAATCAAAAAGTTTCCTGTGGGTAGATCTGAAGCCTTGTAGATTACATTTTTTAATTTGCTAGGAATATTTATTTGTGTTGCAAAAATAAAAAAAATAAAGGACTCTTAGAACTATGTCAATAATAGGAATCTTTCATTTTTGTTAGCAAAAAATCATAATATACACTGCTTTGTCTTAGTCACTGTTTTCTCATTTAGCCTCTTTTACATAAAGAATTATCATAAAATGTTTCACATAGGATCAGGAGCAACTGCCTATCTTATCTGCCAAAATCCTTTAATATTGTATTTCATCCACTCAGAAATCTTGCTATGGTGATACAGAACCACCACAGAGGAAGGAATTCTCATTAGAGAAGAAGTAGTTCTGTTGGATGTTAAAAGCTTACAATGCAAAATGGAGTGCTTTTATTTGACAATAAAATTGACCTCAAATTCTATTGAGCACTACAATTCACTTAACATTAAAAACAACATGGTTTTCTTACTGAAAATTAGATTGTGCTTAAGTATATAAGTGTGAGGGTGTGTATATAATTAAGTGTGATACAGTAAATTGAGATGAATCAGATTAATCAGTGTGTTAGTTTATAAATAAAATTATGTTGATTTAAATCTTTTCTAATACTCAAATCTTGAAAACTTCAACCAAGAACTAGAAATAATTTTTCTCCAATTATTTGGCAGCTATTATTAAAACAATTACTAAGCTCTAGATGTGAAGACAAACAAAGTACTTTAATGACATGTTGCTATTTATATCATTCTCTTGAACATATTTTCCAGAACTCCAGTAGGTATTTAATTACAATATTTCCATATTATGATTCAAAGTACCTTACCCAAATCAACTGGTACTGCTTTCAGAGCTAAAGATTGTCATGAAGAATGGTGGCAACATATGTCTCTTTGAGTTAACTTTCTTGGGATTTTGATATTTGCATTGGAATATCACCCCCCAATGTCTGAGATCTGTATAAAGCTAATTATATGCTACTATTAAAGCAGATTGCAAGAGACATTGACAGTTGGAAAGGCCTAATGACCAGCTGGATGGGAAAATGTCATGTTGTCAAAATGGTAAGATTGCCAGGAGTTTTACATGCCATTTATTTGCTACAAACATGAGTACCTAAGCCTTATTTTAAAATAAACTTAGCCTGTTAAATAATTATATTTGCATTTTGAGAGAAGCCCAAAGGCTAAGAGGTATAATTCATATTTTGAGATAATAAGCTTTTAAATCCTGAACCACACTGAATTTATAACATTATTTTATTCACCTCAAACTTATTAAAGTGTAATATATACAAATAAGAAGAGACAGCTTCGAATATAGCCAAGATTAAGAAGCATTAGGAAAATAAGCCTATGATTCAGAGAATAAAGTGAATAGTTACATGATGTCTTTTACCATTCCTCAAACCCAGCTGTAGGAAAAACATTTCAATTTGATTTGTTGGGTTGACAAAAATAGTAACATTCATACAGTACTTTTATTTTTGTTTTTGTTTGCTTGTTTGATATGTAGTCTTTCTATATACCATTTGGCTGGTTGTCCTGGAACTCACTACTTAGACCAGGTTGGCCTTGAATTAAGAGAAATCCTCCTGTCTAAGCTTCCTTTGTGCTGGGATTAAAGGCATGTACCATCATGACCAGCTAGTACAGTGCTTTTTAATGATCTCTTTGATAGCATATCATTTGTTGTTTATAACAAGTAAGTGTTGTAGGGTCTTCAGAACTATATTATATCTATCAAGAAAAATATTTTCAGAAAGCAAAGTCTCCCCCTTGCTGCTTCATTTTTTTTTCTTCACCTTTCTTCACAAATCTCTGTGTTCAACTCTTCATTCTTCTTCAACATATGGACTTAGTCATATGGCAGCTGCTTCACCCTCCCATCAAGATTCTTTCCAACATACCAGCATCTGTCATCAAATAATTATAGCAACAGCTGACATTTATTGTAAATGCATTGTGTCAATATCTGTTGTATATACTATATACCTTATCTACTATAAATCATTAGTCTATATAGACATAGATATCATTAGTCATAAGCTATGATCTATGTTTTTCATTTTCATCTTAGTAGGAAGGATATGAAATATAAAAAAAAAAACATTTTTAATGGCTATATCAAAATCAATAGCAAAACCCAAATGGCAAACATCAGAGCTGAGCCCAGGCAAGTTGTTTCCACACAATGATTCTGATCATCATACTCTACTGCCTTACTCTTACTATAAATTGTTTCCTTAGGACTGGAGAAATAATTCAAAGTAAGAGCATTTGCTGCTCTTACAGAGGATTGGGTTTAGTTCTCAGTACCCATATGGTGACTGCCACAGGCTTAGACATGCAAGTGGTTCTATAAATGCTAGCAAAACATTTACACACATTTAAAAATATTTTAATTTTCCAAAGCATTGGCCTCTACTTTGAATTTCAACCCTTCTCACCTTCAGTGGATATTGATTATACCTTTTTTTCCTACTTAGTCATCAGTTTCTTCCTTTCCACTGAACTAACCTAGTTGTCATTCAAATATACCTCAGTATGACCCATTTAAAAAGAAAACATTTTTCTCTACTTTTTATGTCCTTCCATGTAAAAAGAAAACTCAAATTTCTGATTTTTTTCTTTCATTGCTAGCAATTGTCAATACCCTTGACTCCTCTTATTATTCTTCATTTTTAAAACTATTGTATGGAAAAAAAGGTTGTTAGCTTAGTCTGTAGAATAAAAACTAAAAAATGCCATGTTTTCATTTTTTCACATTTCCTTCTTATTAACAGATACCAATAACTTAGACTAGGGTTACTAAAGGTATTTTACCAGAAGAAAAAAGTTTTTGGAGATGGTTTCTTAAGAAGCTTACTGATGATACTCCTTTGAAGGAGAGAAAAAAATATCAAAGATGACTCCAAAAATCATATTGTTGGTACAATCCTTTCACTCTGGAAACTCTGAGGGAGAATCTGTCGCATGGTTCTTCTCTAGTTTCTAAAGGTAACCCAGTACCTTTCATGGTGCACATGATCAAATGTCTCACCTCAAATACAGAACAGTCTATACTACAAAGAAAACATTAAGGAGAGAAAGAAAAGGAGGAAAAAGGGATTATGGCTGCATCATTTCAGCCTCCTTTTCTGTCTCCACATGGACTTCCTCATTGTGTTTTTACTCATCTTTGAAGGCTTCTACAAAAATACCAGTTATTGGACTCAGGCTTGCTATAAGCCAGCATGACTTCACTTCTACTGTATCACATCTGTAAGGGCTCTACTGCAAATGATTGTATAGTTTAGGTATGGTTAAGACTTTGGTATTTCTGTTAGCTCATAATCTTGCTTTGAAATAGAGGGTTTTTTTTTTTGGGGGGGGGGCAAAGAGAGAATTTTATTTGGTGAAGACAGACATCCAGAAGAGACCAGATGGCAAGGCACAGGCTCGGGGTCTGGAAATGTCCTCAGCCGTTCAGCACCATCCGGACAAGCTCTTCATAGTTGATACAACCATTGCTATCCTCATGACCCGCCACCAGCATCTCCACTTCCTCCTCTGTCATCTTCTCTCCCAGTGTGAATAGGACATGCTGGATTTCAGCACCCATGACGGTACCATTCCCTTCCTTGTCGAACACACGAAGGCCTTTGACATAGTCCTCATAAGTTCCCTGGTCCTTGTTCTTGGCCACAGTCTGCAGCATGGGCAGGAAGTGATCGAAGTCCAACACCTTCATATTCATCTCATCGCTCTTGGGCTTCCCCAGTACCGTGAGCACCTTGGCATTGGTAGGGTTCTGGCCCAGGGCCCTCATCATGTCCCCACATTGGTTGTACAGGATCTTGCCATCACCTGTTCGGTCAAACAGCTGGAAAGCTTCCTTGAACTCTGCTGTCTGGTCCTCGATGAAGTCACACATCTTGGCTGCTCAGCTCTTCGGGACTTTTTCCAGCAGTAATGTCCAATAGAGGTGTTTTTAGCAGGTTTTGGCCCATATAGATATCATCCATATACTTCAGGTTTGATGAGTGATGAATCTGCATTTGATAAATTTGGATGCACAACCTTGCTCTTTAAAAAGTGTATGGTTGGCTTTCAGATAATACATGTCAAGTGTATAAAATTCCCCAAATTTCTGATTGTAATAGGCATATGTTATTTGGTGGATTTTGCTGTTATTGTTATTTGATTTTATTTTTTAAATTTTGGTCCGGTGCCTTGCCTTTCAACGAGAGACAACCATCTGTCAAACTTGGTTAAAACATTTCTTGGCAAATAGAGAGTACTACTGCCATGGATTATGATATTTAAGGGGAAATGCATGTTATTTTGCATCCAGACCACAGTTTCCCCTCCATCCTCTCCTCCTATTTTCCCCCACTTTCCCTTTTCCCCTCTCTGTCCACTCCTCCTCTGCTTCTGTTCAGAAAGTCGCAGGATACCCACGGGTATCAACCAAGCACAACATATCAACTTGCCATAAGACTAAGCACTCTCTCCCCCCTTGTATTAAGGCTGGACAAGGCAATCAGTATGTGGAATAGGTTCCCAAGGGATAGCCAAAGTATGAGGGACAGCTCCTGCTCTAATTGTTAGGAGTCCAACAAGTAGACCAAGTGGCACAACTATCACATATATGTAGAGCACTTAGGTCAGTCCCATGCAGGCTTACTGGTTGTTGGTTCAAACTCTGTGAGTGCCTATGTGCCAAGGAAGTTGTTTCTGTGGGTTTTCTTGTGATTTCCTTGATGTTTCTGGCTCCTACAATCCTTCCTCTCTCAGGAATATTCCTGAGTTCAGCCTAATGTTTAGCTATGGGTCCCTGCATCTGTTTCCATCAGTTACTAGATGAATGCTCTCTGATGACAATTGTAGTAATCATCAATCTAATCACAGAAGATGGTCAGTTTGGCTACATATCCACTATTGATTGCTAGGAGTCTTAGCTGGGGTCATCCTTGTAGATTCCTGGGAGTTTAACTTTCACTAGGTTTCTACCTGGCTGTGAAATGCCCCTTTCTAGTCATCTCTTTCAACACTCTCCCCTCCACGCCCCCAATCAGATTGATCCTTCATTGTAACGGTATTCTTAATAGACACAAATAGATAATAGTGATGACATTAGGACACTCTCTATAATGTCTTGCAATCCTATGAAGAAAAGTAACTTTATAGAATAGCTTATTATGTGGGCTGTGAGTTGAAAATATGTAGTTACAACCCATTTAATGAACTTCTCCTAAAAATCAAAAGCCTGTAAAGCCTGTAACATAAAAATTATTTTCTGTTAAATCAAATACCTTTCTACCATCCCAGTGTAATAAGTACTCTTTCTCTGTTAAAGCTTAAAAAAAAGCAAATCCATTTATGCTATTCATAACACTTAAGAGCAAGCTTCAGTTTTTAATAAGAACACAAGTCATTTGTCCATATAATAGGCAGATATAACCTCCTTTGCACTCTAAGACTGGAGTTGTTTGCATTTATGAATGGTTGCAATCAGGTAGATACACCTTTAATTGGCTCTTTATCAGTCCTAATCAGAAAGTGTTCATTCATTATGCTAAAGTCTGAATTCTAAGATGTGAAGAATAATAATAGATTACAAATTGAATTTTTTAAAGCTCCTTTCAAATTTTGGATTCAAAGGCATATATAACAAAATTTCATAATTAGTAAGATTGAATCTTCTTTTGGAAATCAAAGAATTTCAGAGCTAGCAAAGACCTTGGCAGAACATGTTCAGCAGCAAAGCTAGGATGACACCTCTGGTTTCTTTTCTTCTGTGTTAGTGGTTCCTATTCATCTCACTCCACCCATGCACATGCCCAGTGATTTATGTGTAGCAACAAAGTCTCAAAGAAATCTAATTTGATTCAATTTGCTGCAATAGATACTGTAAATCTCTCATTAAAGACCTAGGTGACAACATTTCTAAAATAATCACTCACTCCCAATCCCTTATCAAACATAATTCAGTCTTTTTAACTCACAGTTTAAGAAACTCTATGAATACACCTTTGATCAGTGTTTCTTCCTAACTAATCAGTATCTCCATGGGATGCTTCCCAGAAAGGAAGTATGAGGGTTTCCAAACTTGCTAATTGAATAGAACGACTTTTCTCTATTTTGACATTTGGGTTCATTGTATGCTTACATTAAGCATCTTTTAAGATTGATTAAAGCCCTAAGCATCAATTAAATTATTAATTAATCACAGCATAAATTTATTGCTTTCTGTACCCCAGCCTTTAATAATTGATTTATTTGATAGTAGTGCACCAGCTGTAATACCTTTGCATGTCAACATTTCTGTTAAGTGTATTTTCATCTTCCTCTGCTTTTCTTGTCAAAAGGAATGGTAATTTCAAACAATCTGTTAAATTGCCAACCTCACTTTTTCTCCAAATGATCATTCAAGGCAAAATTATCAGTCAGAAAGCCATTCAGGTCCTCAGAGGTAAGAAGATTCCTTTGAGAATGGCTCTGAATGTTTCATTAAGTTTAGTTGATCTTTTTGTGCAAAAATAATAGGTCACAACTAGTTTTAATCGGTGTGTATTTTTGATTATAAGCAATATTTCCATGTTGATTTGAGGAAAATATTATCATAAATGTAATAATATATAAACATAGGAAAATTTTCCTACACATTTTGAGGTATTTAGCTGCAAGAATAAAAATAGTTGTGTAATTCTCATTATAAATGGAAAAGACTGCTACAGTAGAGTACTCTCATCATCATTAGCCATGATTATGAATGAGTTTTCACATTGATCAGCTAGGTTAGTTATTGACAAGTCCACAATTAACCACTGAGAATTTTTTCTACTATTTTAATAGAAATAGTGCTTGTGTTAAGCCACATGCTGGTTTTGGCTGCTGTAACTTTGAGATTCCAAATAACAGTTGTTTTTTTTTTTTTTTAATCAATCAATCAATTAATTAATTAATTAAAGATTTCTGTCTCTTCCCCACCGCCGCCTCCCCTTTCCCTCCCCCTCCCCCAATCAAGTCCCCCTCCCTCGTCAGCCCAAAGAGCAATCAGGGTTCCCTGCCCTGTGGGAAGTCCAAGGACCACCCACCTCCATCCAGGTCTAGTAAGGTGAGCATCCACGAAACTGCCTAGTCTCCCACGAAACCAATAGGTACAGTAGGATCAAAAACCCATTGCCATTGTTCTTGAGGTCTCAGTAGTCCTCATTATCCACTATGTTCAGCGAGACCGGTTTTAACCCAGGCTTTTTCAGACCCAGGCCAGCTGGCCTTGGTGAGTTCCCGATAGAACATCCCCATTGTCTCAGTGTATGGGTGCACCCCTTGCGGTCCTGAGTTCCTTGCTTGTGCTCTCTCTCCTTCTGCTCCTGAAGCCAGACCCAAAAAGAGGAACATGGGAACACTCATATTTGGTTTCTAGCCATAAATAAAGGACATTGAGCCTATAATTCGGGTTCTTAGAGAAGCTAAATAAGAAGGAGAACCCAAAGAAAAACATATAGGCATCCTCCTGAATATTAACCTTCATCAGCCGATGAAAGGAGACAGAGACAGAGACCCACAATGGAGCACCGGACTGAAATAACAGTTGTTTTTAACTAAAGGGAAGGTAGTCTTGCGTATCAAAATCTGGGCAGGCAACTTCAAAAGCAGTCGGGAGCCTGCTTCTTTCTGTCATCTTACTGTCCGACCTATCATCACTATGGAGCTACCATCTTCCTGTCCAAGACAACTGAGAAGTTCCTGACATCATGTTTATGTCCCATTTTACTCTTCAAATTAATGGACCAAAGGTTGAGTAAATCACTTCTGGTCACATTCAGCTGACCAAAATTCAGTCACAAAGCTGTCATTATATACCTGCTAGAGATAATGAAAAATGGAGTATTTGACAATGTAGCAAAAAAACCCAACAAAAATTATACTCATATACATGAAGAGAAAAATGGATATTGAGGAAATACTTACAGCCCTCCCATCATAGATTGTGTGAAACCTAGTAGTAAGTCAGTAGCTCCTTTCATTCCTGTTGCAATTTTTCATGAGTCCTTTCAATTATTTTATTTTATCCTCACTTTTGAATGATTTTAACCAGTCCTTAATGATCAACACTTAAACCAGGGAAGAGAAGAACATTACATAAGATTTTATTTTGAATGTACTTGTTGTTTGATACCAGTCAAGTAGACCAATTTTAAATAATAACTGAGCCCCACATATGCTAGTAGACGTCACTGACACTTACTTTTTTTTTTTTATAAAATGCCTTGCTGTCCTTTCTTGGTGACCAAATATCCATTTACCTTTCAAGATTCATCTTAACATGGTATGGTATGGTATTTACTTCATATCTTCTCATGGGAAAATAAAAACCTCACTCAATAACCAAGGTAGAAAGAATTACATCACCTGTTGTGTCTTGCTCTTTCAAGAGAAAATCATACTTTATTGTTTATCGGTTGGTTAGTGTGTCTGTCTTACATAGTAGAAAACCAAAATGTTGAGGTTAAGATTTCAACCTCTTTTATGTTACTGGTACTAAATAATAATACCTGTTAAAACTTATTTAGTATTTTAAATTAGTTCTATTGTTAAAACAATTACATGATTTTATCTTAAGACTAGAGACTACTGTCACACACAACTCATTTAACATGGAGCTATAAAGCTGATACCTTCATTGATTCTTCACAAATATCATATGTGCTCACTCACAAGTGGATTTTAGACATAAATTAAAATCTGGGTAGCTGTGATACACACCTTTAATCCCAGCACTTGGGGGGAGAGACAAAGGAAGGTAGATCTCTGTGAGTTCGAGGCCAGCCTGGTCTATAGGAGCTAGTTCCAGGACAGGCTTCAAAGCTACAGATAACCCTATCTCAAAAAAAGAAAAAAAAAGCAAAACCAGCCTACAATTCA